GTAACCTCTTCAGGGACGATTTTCTTTAAAATTAGAAAATATTAATCTAATTTTTTATGTAGTTACATTTATGTTAAATCGATAGCAATTAAGCTACTTTCCTTAGGAGATTTTTCGAGATTTCGGGAGATTGTGTTTTTCATATTTTCTCTATCGCAGATATTGGAATTTTTGGAAAATTTAAAGGTACACATACGCGTCGGTGTCCCTGAAGAGGTTAACCAAATTTTAATCATTTTTTGTCTTCCAATACCCCAAACAATATGCGTAAATTTCAGATTTGTGCGATTTCATTTTTAAGGTGTTGCAATTTTTCAGGCGAGCAGTGTACTAGGAGACAGAAGGTCGGAGGACATGATGGAATAATTGAGAAACGTGGTGGTGCATTTAATGAAAGGAATAATTTTTTATATTAAGTGCAACAGTTAATCTATTAAGCAAAATTGTAAAATAAGTGAATAGTCTGAAACCTGAAATTCTCACTATAAATTAAATAGAAATAACTTTTATTAACGTTGACATAAGAAAGATTTGAAATCAAGATAAACAACGGTAAGCATAAATTAACCGTTGATTAAAAGGAGAAACGTAACTACAGACCAAAGATAGAAATGTAGGAATAAGATAGATGTAAGTAGATAAATAAGCACAGTTTTGCAGTTTTACACAGGATGAGTGTAGGTAGGGTAAGCGAAGAGAGATGGATGCGTGGGTATAGGCATGTAGACGACTACTATGAACCAAGTCCCATTTCTTGACCGCGTCGAAATTAAATAAAATATATACAGTGTCCAATTTTAATCTGTACGTATGAATTACTCGTAAACTATCGGCTGCGTGAAAAATGGTTCAGAAGGGAATTGAATGGTTTCGGGGGGGACCATAATCTGGTGTAATTAGCTTTTTTGTAAATGGACGTGTGGAAGTTATATAAAAGCGACACACGTTTTCTTAAATGGAATCGTATAATTTTTAACGCATTGGTCGATTCAGCTCTTTACTTCCTATAAAAAAGTATTAAGGTAGTTATGTCGAAAAACCATTAGTTTATGAGATATTTTAGTCTCAACATTGTAAGGTGGTACTATTTAGTTCATCTGCATCTACATTTTCTGAATTGACAGTGGGCATTGTTTTTTACAAAATGATAGGAGAGCAATGAGACAAAGTCAATCATATCGTTTCATGTGTGATCTTATTAAAGGATTTGTGAAACAGAACCATCGAATGTAATTTCTTTATTAAAAAGTTCAAATGTTCAAAGGCACTGCCTTGATTGTCAGTGCATGCTTTTATGCTTTAATTGTACATCGGTTCGGTGTTATACACTGTCGTTCGTAAGTATTAGGACACCTATTACGTTCGTGTAGAAAGTATTGGATGATTTAGGTCAAATAATTTTATATTTTACCAGATTTTAGTAGATTTCAGTAGACGTCCGTAGAATTCAGTAGATTTTAGTAAAATTTAGTAGATTTCAATAGAATTCAGTGGAATTCAGTAGATTTCAAGAGATTTCAACAGATGTCAGTAGAATACAGTAGATTTCAATAGAATTCAGCAGATTTCGGTAGAATTTAGTAAGTTTTGGTGGATTTAAGCAGAGTTCCGTAGATTAAATAAATTTCGATACATCTCAGTACATATACTTTACATTCAGAAAGTGTCCTAATACTTATGAACAGGAGTATATCTATATTGCAGATAAAATACGTGAAGAACCAAAACGAAGAAATTGGTTATAATTTATCCACATTCTTCAAACTAGAGAGATTCAATGTCTGTTTGAGAGATGAACCCAATTAACAGGTTAACACTGTAGAGCGACCGGCCGGGTTGATATTGACCCATTAGCAACATTCTAAAAGAAGTGAATTTTCGTCTCTGATAAGTATTATCGTTTGTAACTTTCTGACTTCAGTTTTCGCATGCGTACTTCTATTTCTATCGATACGAATCTGATTTTTCAATCACAGTTTGGTTACATAAAAATTCCCCTTTTGAAAAGTCGCTAATTGGTCATTTTGACCCGGCCGGTTCTTCTAGGGTTAAAGGTAGGGGAGAGTCGTGCAGTACCGGCCAAAGCTAGATCTCTGTTGATGGAAAAACAAATTAATACCATAGCCCTGAGCAATATATTCCGGCGACGTTCTGTTTTCTAAGACGGCTGACGTTTACGCTAGTGTTCCGTACGACAAAAGTTATTTTTCATAGCTGCAATGGTTGAGCTCACGTAGAGTGTACGGATCAAATAAAGGATTAAATAAAAGTTCTATTCTATGTTTTAATGATTTTTACTAACATTATTTATTACTTAGACCTTCAAATCTACTAACTAAGTAGCTGTACGACAATTTTTCGTTCGCTGCAAATTACAATTTTTTTATTTCTACGAATTATTTACCTTTGTGAGAAAATTTAAGAAGAACCATTTGTCCCCTTTTATTAAGCACCCTTTGTACTACAAATTACTTTTTTGAAATTTCAGTTTTACCAACATTAACCCAAGTTATAGTACAAAAACTTAGAGTGGCCGGTACTGCACGACTCTCCCCCTACATACTTTTATCTTCGACAAGTTAAACAATTTTTCTGTATAAGCAACTTGTAAATTGTTTACACAAAAGGTTGATAAAAGAAATTTTCAAAAAAGAATTTCGGTATATGTAAAATTAGACAGAAACCTAGCCTAATACACGTTTAAAAATGTTGCCTATAAATGACTTAACATCGAACAATTATACTTTTTAATCAGCTGTCCGATCAACGTGTTAAAGAAAAGGTGCGCCGCATTGGTGGCCAGGTAGAAGAAGAGAAAAAAGAATAATAAAGAAGAAGCTGGATGAGAGAAGAGACATTGCGGTGCATTAAGGAACACGGGTCGAGTTGCGCAAGGTCGTAAAGCAATCTGAAAAAATCTGGAGCATATCAGTGCACGTGTCGAAAGAGAAAACGCTCCTCCGCGCAGATTGCGTGTAATAACGCGTATAAAAGCGGCGATCCTCGCAGCTGGCGGATACCACCAGCTGGTGGTGGCACCTTCTGTGCGTCCAAACATCAAGAAGAAATCACTACAAGTGGAGAAAAAAAATTATGCAAAAAAGGAAAGAAGCGGACGCAGACGGAAGGAAAAAAAGAAGGAATTGAAGAAAAAAGAAGAAGAAGAAGAGAGTAGCGAGAGGACCGTCATGTAACTGATAGTTTCATTAATCAGAATGACATCGGTCGACCGATGAGAACGATGCACCTGGACGATCCTTATCACCTGGCACCATCGAATTACGCCTGACCACTAAACGAGCCCGCGAAACTGCACACACTCGTAACAGCACTGATTCCTCTGCATATTTCAACCGAAGAAAGCAAAATGAACGGCTGCGACGCGGCGTGTATATCGAGGTAGCTGAACGCAGCGTTCAACGGCGTGCTTTCATTCGTGGTGAAAGGACGATGAAGAATAAAGTGGGTCCTGCTGTTCACCCGG